GGGGGCTCGGGCCGTTCGGCGGCGGCGGCCGCGGCCTCTCTCCCCTCCCCGGCCGCGCTTACATCCCCGCCGGGCGCCGGCCTCCCTGCGCCGCCAGCCAGTACATGGTGTCCCCCGCGGGAGCCGAGGCCGGGGCGGCCGGAGCGGGGGCCGGGAGGGGGGGGACGCCGCCTCGGCGGCTGCCGGGCCCCGCGCTGCCGCTGCCCTCGCTGTCGCCGCCGCCGCTGCTGCTGCTGCTGCTGCCCGGGAGGCGGCTGGCGGCGGAGGCTCGGCTCCCAGTAGCCGCACATCCCACAATACACCGCTGAGGAGCCCGGCCCGGGCGCTCACCCTCCTCCTCTTCCTCCTCCTCCTCCTCTTCCTCCTCCCCTCGCCCGCCTCGCCGCTTCCCCGGGCGCTCTCCCGGCGGCGGCAGCTGCGCCGCCAAAGCCCCGGGCCCCAGCGGCCCCCCACCCCTCGCTCGCGCGCTCCCACACTGCCTCCCCCCGCTCCCCGGGGGGAAGGCCTTTTAATTTATTTATTCTGCCGGGACCGGGGTGGGGGGCTTGACTGGCAGGCCGCGGGGAGGGGGGTCTCTTCGGCTTGGCCCTCCCGCGGCCCCGGCTGCCCCCTCCGGCTCCGGGGCGCTCCACGCCGTGCGCCCCCGGGGCCTCCCGAACTGTCTCCAAACTGCCCGGAGCGGAGGTGGGCGCGCGGGGACTCGGCGAGAGGGGCCGGGCTCCCTCCCGGAGGGGCGATTGTGTGCTTGAACACTCGGGAGCCCGGGGCGGGAGGGGGGGCGGACGTCGGCCCCGAGCCGGCTGCCATCGAGGCATCCCCGTCCCGCTTCCTCCTCGGCCTGCGCGCCCCCGCCCTCCCCGGAGCCGTCCCGGGGAGGGGAGACTGAGGTTTGGAACCACGTTAGCTTCACGTTCCTGGGAGGATGCAGCCCTCGCCTGGATGTGGGAGCTCGCTCTCGCTCTATTTTATTTTTTTCCTCTCTGTTTTTATTTTTTGGAGGGGAGCGCCCAGTAATTGTCCTGAACACATGCTTCTCCCTCCCTCCGTGCTCCAGCCGCCGGCGACAGCGAGTCCCCTTTTTTGCATTTATCATTTCCCTTCCCCTTTCTTTATTAAAGGTCCGGGAGCGGCGGCGGCCAATCAGCGCTCGGCTTCCATTTTGTGAGTTCAACTCCGAGGCTCCCCCGGCTTTGGCGTGGACGCGTTCGCAGACCCCTCGGTCTCTCCTCTCGGGCTGCCGGGGCGAAGCGGCCGCCTGGCGGGGGCTCCGCGGTGCTGTGTTTCATATTGGGGTTCTTTTCGGGGTTTGTAATTTGGCCGTGGGTAGGTAATTGGCTGGAGCAGGGCGGCAGGGCGCGGCAGCCAATCAGCACGCGGCTTCTATAGGGCTTGAGTTATTAGACGCTGATCTCAAAACATCCTTCATCAGACTCCAAGGAGAGGCCAACAGATGAGGGGAGCCATTTTTCTGCAATGGAATTAAATGGCCAAGTGGGTTTTTCCTTTGTTGAAAATGGGGAATGCTTTTCCTTTGACTCCACCATCCAGTTCAGGACGCCTGAATGTGTTTAACATTTGCCAAAGGATTCAGAGTTGGAAGAATGAAGAAGACCTTTTAAAAAGATCTGGATTTTTCCTTATGACTTGGAATCCATCTTTGTCTTGTATAACTAGGTCATAGCACACTATTAATGTCAGCAGTTAACAGTTTTGAATTCAAAAAACCTAAGTAAATGACATATTTAATTTTTTTCCTCTTTTTTTTTTTTTTGGGGGGGGGGGGGGGGGGGGGGAGCGCTTGGAACTGTCTTAATCTGTATTCTCTTGACTGAACAATAAATTTTTAAATATAGTTTCCTCTATTAAACACTTAAGTCTGGCCATCTTATTAACTCTTTTTAACAAGGTAATGTTTTAAATGTAGAGTCATAGGAGTAGCGAAATAGCAGCAACAACAAACTGAGCTGTTGTTACTGTTAAATTTTCTAAAAACCTTTTTACATTGTAAGTACCCAATCCATTGTCCTTACTGCAGTTTTCATGTTACTGTCGCCTGAGATGTCCTGAATTTTCCGAACCTTCATCTGCACGTATGTCTTTGTCTCTGTCTGATGTCAGTTAAAATGCTCTTAGACGGTTGCTTTTATAAAGCTACGGTTTTTAGCTTCAAGCTTTTTGAAAAATGTTTACAGCAATGGATGCTATTCAGATTTCTTCCCAGTAACTCGTACACTTTGAGAAAAATCGATCTATTTGAAGAAAAACAGCTGTTTTTCTCAACTTGGGTGGTGGTGGTGGTGGTGAGAGAAAGGAAGACCTTCTTTGTATAAAAAGACTGAAAGCCGTCACTGAAAACTAGATTAAAACTGGAAAACAAGTCCTCGCTGGTTCAAGCCAAACACCTACGTTAACTCGGTATTTTCTATGGTGGTTGGGATGGCTGGTGAGCTATTTTGCTTTTGTTTGATTTGACTGTGTTTTCGCCTTTTGTTTCTTAATGACGGTCACACCATTGCTAAATCCAGAGCAGTAAACAGTCCTCAGCGAAGCCGCCTTTTTGCCAGCCCAACCCTGGAAAGTTTGCAGTCGTGGAAGAAGCAGAAAATACCACGAGTGTAACTTACAAAAGGTAACAACAAAAGAACACTATAACCCCAGATTTTTTTTTCCCCCAACTAAACCAAAACAACAAAAAGAACCCTGTTGTTTTTATAATAACATCTCCAAAAACACCGCCCAGCTTTTTCTTCTAGACTTCATGGCACCGGGCTGAGGGGGTAAGTAAAAACCTAAAATAAAAAGATTTTAAAGTGCCTTTTGCCCCTTTCGAGAACTCTTGATTGAGCAGGCCATGGGCTGTAGACGATTGGGAGCTGAGGTTTCTCGAGCTTGAGTTTGGCAGCCGATTGCAGTGGGCGGGTGAGGGGGCAAGAACTCTCCAGACCCCTTTGCCTCTTCTGCCCCAAACGCGGAGAGAGCCTCTCCCAGCACCCTGAGGCATCCATGGAGCTGCCCGTGCCAGTCCCTCTGGCTCACCCCAGGTCTGAACCTTGATGGCGGAGAAGAAATTGAAGTGCTTTGGAGGTGGAGGGGCTGAAAAAGCGAGGAGACCTTCCCACCCACCCTAAGGTCTCGTTCCCATTTGACTGTGGCGCTCCGGGGCGCGTCTGCTCTTGCAAAGAGAGAAAGGACAAAAGGCCGGCGTCCATGTTGGCACCATGACGCAGCATCTCTCCCGCCTGCAGCAGCCGGGCGCTGCCTGTGCTCCCGGCCGCGCTCGCTCCTCCTCCCTCCCAGACACGAGTTTTATTTTCAGGTCTCTGAGCCGAGCCGCGGGCCGGGCCGGGCCGGGCCGGGTCGGGTCGGGGCCGGAGCCGCCCGGCCGTTGAGCACCACGAGGGCTAATGGCGGCCGGCTCTCCTCCTCCCTTCCGCCATCCTGCTTTCGCGGGCCGCCGCTGGGAGCCGCGAGGCGGCGCCGGGCCCTGACAGCCCGCAGGGCGCGGCGCCCGCCATCCCGGCCGCGGGTCTCGGGGCCCCTGAGGCCCCGGGGGGCGTCGCGCCCCGTGATTCCCGCACGCCCCCGCCCCCACCGCGGCTCGGCGCCGGGCTCGGGCTGTGGCGGCCGCGGGAGGTGCCGGGGCCCGGCGGGGCGAGCCGCTGCAGGCGGGTCCAAGCCCCTGATCGGTGCCGCAGCCCCGGGCTCCCGTGGCCCACGCGGGCACGAGGCTTCGCTCTGGCTGCGGTGCCTGCGGTTCTGCCCCGGAACAGGAGCCAGGGGCCAAGGGCTACGAGGCTGCCCTGAGCATCCCTTCACTGCCCACTCGGCCTCAGGAGACCCACCCCTGCCTCCCCCAGTCGTCCTTTGATAGTCGAGCCGGAGGGGCGGGTCTCCCCTTTTGTCCCCACTTTTGGGTTAGAGGCCTTCGCAGTGGCTGGGTTCCCTCACTTGGACGCCAGAGGCACGGCCTCCTTGAGTTGGAGGTGTGTGTTGGAAGGTGGGGGCTTGGGGCCTGGGAAAGCCGATTGGGGCCTCCCCCTCGGGATCCCTCCCTCCCCCCCTCCCCGCCGCGATAGTGCCCGAGGGTAAAGTCTTAGATCTCGGCCTTCCTGGGGGAGGGGATGGGGACAGGGCGGGCCTTTGGAAATGCAGATGAGTCGTCTCCTGCTGTTCGTCGCCCTGGCTGAACTTAAGTGACTCAGCCACCCCCACCCCACCCCACCCCCACCCATTCCAGAGTGAGGGCCGCCTTATCAGCTGGAAAAAAGGGACAGCATTTCTAAGGCTCTTTCTGTCTACTAGACCCTATTGGTTTGCATTTGGCCAAATCCATTCTCTGACCTACATACAAACTGTGGAACTGCCCTAACAGATCGTCCGAATTTACAGGTCTTGGCCGGAGCCCGGAGCAATGTCTGGGTTCCCCCCCACAAGTAGACAAGCCTTGCTTCCTCTGGACAGCTGGAGCAGGCCTAGATTGGCCGACAGCCTTCCCAGTGAGGCAGGTAAGAGCCCTTTCCCAACTTGAGAGAAGTTTGAGGGGGCTTTGACCTGCGGCCTTCGAAGGGCGGGTTGGGATCCCCAAACCCGCTGGGCTGGTTCTGCAGCCCCTCCCCCACGCTGATGTGGCGGTTGTGTGTGAAATGGGCGGCCTGCTGGGTCCATGCAGCCCCGCCTGTCAGCCTCTGCTGCCGGGCGGTGCTCTGCCGAATTTAGCAGCTTACTAGAGAAGGGCTACGAAGTATTTCCCAGTGGCGTGCTTTACGGTGGGTGGCAGGCCCGGGAAGCTTAGGAAGACATCGACTGCTCCCAGGCTTGCCCGTGCTGTTTCAGCCATTCCTCCTGAGCCCCATCGGGGTGGCCAAATGAGCCACCTTCTGATGTCTGTTTGGCTTGCTGGTAGACAAAGAACCGTAAGACCCGAGTGTTAGCCATGTCCTCCTGGCTTCCAGCTTGGCCAGGCATCCTTAGTCTGGTTTCTAGAATGTGAGGAAGCTGGCATGAAAGTTGATTGGCCCTTTACCTGCGGTGACCTTACATGGTCAGCAAGCACTGGGGTGCAGGCCTCCCCATCCGCACAGGCATCGGAGGTTCGTGGGGAACCCCATTAAACCTGCCGGTGCCTGTCTCTCTCATTTAGGAAGTGCATCTGAGAGTCTGCGCTCCTTACAAGGGCCCAGAGACTGCCAGTTTTGCAGACACTCCCCAGTAGGTGCGCCTGGGGATACTCCCCGGCCCAGCGGCTAGCATTGGCCTGCCCTCCTCCCAGGCGAGGAGCTTCACTGCTGAAGGTGGTGTGGCCCTTGATCTCTGACCCCGACCCCAAATGTTTCTAGTGATGTTACTTTGATAAGCCATTTGGCCGCAGGTGCCAGGAATCTTTCCCTATTTGGGCCTCGGCTTCCAGCCTCTTCTTCTCACCCCTACAGCGAGTGCTGAAGTGCGGGTTAGGGAGCTGCTGTTAAAGAGTCCTGTTGGGGCCTATTCAGGGATGCTTCAAGCCGTGGGTTAGCTTTGGGACGGTGCAGGTGACCTTGGACCAGTGCTTCTCCCTGTAAAATACCTGCTGGAAAGGGCTGCTGGGAGGATTAAGTGAGATTAGAGGGCCAGACTCCCGCTCTGACCTCACAACCAGTTGGCCTCCATTGTGATCGCGATTGTTGCTGGGAGTGGCTGCGGGGGTGGGGGCTGGGCCGTCTCCTGGGCTCCTCCCCGCCAGCCCACTTCCTGTAGCACGTGCTGGAGCCTCCAGGCAAAGGAGGAAGAAAAGTGGCTCTGCTTGGGAAGGCAGGCAGCCCTGTTTTTCTCCCAGTGCAGTTTAAGTCCAGGCTGCCCCCGGCTCAATGGCCTGTTTTGTGGTGGGGTCATGATTTAGGGGTCACCCACCAGTAGCCCCAAGAGAAGAAATGTCTACCCAAGGTTGAGGCCACCACGGCCAGAGTCTGGACAGGGCTCCAGGTGCCTTGATTTTCAGCCCAGAGCCTGGGCCCGTAATACCCCCTTGCCCAGCTGTCTGGGTTATTTTAGGCTCCCTCTCTTGCCAGCTGTCTGCTTTTGTCACTGCCAGAGAGCTGTCTGGTAGCAAGGAACCGCAGTGGTCCGGTGGTTCCGCTGGTGCGCCAGGGCCAGGCGCCCGCCGGGTCGTGGAGGACCTGGCTTTGTGCTGGGAGGGCTGAAATCCTCACCCCAAGTGAGAGCCAAGAGAGGCGCTTTCCTAAGTTGGTTTCGTTCGTATTAAAGAGAGCCTGTAGGCCTCTGAACCCACTTGATCTGCCTCCGGGCTTTGCTTCTGGTTAGAGTCCTTGTGTCTGGCCTCTTTACCTCCTCCAGCCTTAGAGTAAGTAATTGATTTACGTCGTGCTGTGTCAGCTGTACCCTGGAGGCTTTAGAGAGCAATTAGGGGCTAAACTGTGGTGCGAGGCTTGAAAGGGGAAGATGGAAGTGACAGGGCCAACTTGTGACTGTCTCCACTTCAGGCTTTTTCACCTCCCTTTCTGCTTGTTTTGGCCCCCTTATCACCTCCCCGGCAGCAGGGTGGGGCAGTTTGTCCCGCTGTTGTTCCTGGCCCTGAGGGGTGCCCCGCCCACCGGTCACCCACAGAGCTTGGGGCGGGGCTGCTTTGGCCGGCTGAGAGAGGGCCACGCCAGCGGAAGGCCTGCCTGAGCTGGGAGGTGGCTGGACTAGCTTTACTACACAGATTCCAGTGTCCCCGCCCCTTCCGGCTCCTCCACCTGGCCTGGAGCCCAAGTTTGGAATTTGACCTTTTAGACGTTCTGAGCGGAGACAGCAGCCAAGACGGGTCGAAATGCCCCCGCCAGCACCGCTCTCCCGCCCCTAAGTGTTTTCTCCGATTGTTCGGGCCCTCAGGCAAGTTGCATCGGATGGAAACCAGGATGGGAAAGTTGAACCGGAAACCTTTTGGGCTATTTCTAAAAGTCTGGTTTGCTAGAGGAGGGTCTCCCCGTGCTTGGGCCAGTCCTGTTGACAGCCGCGCCGTAAGCACACTACTGGGCGCCCAGCAGTGGCCGCTTTCTCAGCCTGGCGTCGAGAAATGACTTGCCCATCCTCCACTTGTTCCCCAGCGCTGTCAGACAGCTGAGGCCTGGAGGAAGACTACCTAGCCAGGTAGATAAGACAGCCCAGCACCCCGGGCAGCCCGGCTTCACCCCTTCTGCTTTATCTGTTGAAGCTCTGGCTCAGGACTCTTATCTCCTACTGCTATCAGTACAGTCTACATTTAGAGAGCTAAATAATTGATTTATGGTACCTCTAAGAAGGGGAGTGGAGCCCTCAGGCCCCCCCAAACTTGAACTTTGGCCTATGCTCCCCTGGGCTCACTGTGCCTGTTGGCCTCTCTGGCTTAGTCTCCCAGTGACCATCCGCAGCTCCCTGAGGGGTTTTAAGACAACCACAGAAGGACTTTTCTGCTTTCTTGTGCTGTCGAGGAATTCCTGGAGAACCAGAGAGTGACCCAGGCCCCCAGAACATCTTGCAGGTGAGAGAGTTGAGCCACCCCTGGTCGGTGAGTGTGTGTGTCTCCTCAGGCCTAGCCTGGCCTGACCTCGGAGGAGGCTCTAAACAGCAGCTGGCTGGATTCCTGGGTATTTTTAGCTACAGACCAGCCCCACCGTCACCATGAGAGCTGGGTCCAAATCCAGCACTCCAGGCCTGGTAGTGCTGGGGCTCTGCCAGCCTTGGCTGAGGCTGGGGTGGGTGGGTGCACAGGCAGCAGGCTGGAACCAGTGGTAGTGTGCTGCCCGAACCCATCCAAGCCAGAACTATTGGCTTTTGGTCATTTCCTCCCTGCAGCTCCCTGCAGCTCCCTGCAGCCTTCCTGTCACCCCGGATAGAGAGTGCAGACACGGGTCTGGGAGTTTGTGGAAAGTCAGGAGCCCTCTTTTGGTTATATGTGGTAGAACACGTTCTTCTTCTAAGTGAATTCTTCCATGACACAGGCAGCCAGGCAGCCTCCTGGGTCCAAGCCCAAGCCCTGAAGGGGCCTGAGAGAAGAAATGTGGGGTCCCTGCAAAGGTAAGTGGGTCCCTACTCACTGTAAACCTCTCTCTGTGCACCTCTTACTCCACTCTGGAGTGGCCTGCAAGATCTACACCACTGAGGAATCTCACCTCTGGCATGCCAGTGGACATAGTCTCCTCTTTTACCACCAAGAGATAATCCTAGCCCCTCTTGGTGTGCCTGATTTTGACAGGACTCCTCTGCTGTTGAGTCCCTTTGCAGCTCCCCTCCCCCTTCAAGCAGCAGTAAGTCTGTTACCTTGACAACCCCTTGGGCCTGTCTCCCTTCTCACCACTTAGAACCTGAAGGAGGTTTTTCCAGCTGCAGTACATTTGCCCCAGTTGGGCACCCCTCCTGCTTCCATTAACTGAACCCTCTGCCCAACTGTACCCAGTACAGCAAAAACAACCCTCCCTGGCCCCTCAGCTGTATTCCCAAAATGGATTTCACTGGTGCTGGGCGCCCTCCAGACAGAGCTCCTCACAAGTGCGAACACGGTGCTTCTCAATAAACAAGTTGCAAAAAAGGAATGTACGAGTCGCTGAGCGTTTGTCTAAGGGGCTTGAACAAGGGGATTTCTCCCTAACAGCTGGGGGTTGGCTCCAGGTTACCTTTTCCACGCGCAGTCGCTGCTGCCCTCTGGTGGTTCAGCCTTGCATTGCGTCTCCTGGAGGAAAGGGGAGGGGCGGGGAAACAAGAACGACCTGGCAAGTATGGAACTCCCAGGTTGGCAGCATACTCCATCCTCAGAGTGAAATCTTGATGTTTCCCGAGAACTTGAAAATGAGTTTTCAGGGTGCACCCCTGAGCTTTGACAGGTCTTCTGTGAAGAAATGACCTTTACTCCAGCCGGGAGGGTCTGCCCGCTGCTGGCAGGCTGCAGGGTCCTACCGCTGGACCACTGGCCTAGCTCTGGAAGTGAACCCCCAGCTCGTACACACAGGAGAAGGGTGGTCACAGTGACGTCAGCCCGCTGTACCTGCTTGCATTGCGCGCTTAGCCAAGAGCTGTTTGAATTGTGGTGATGGGAGTGGAATTCCTGTGAAAGACAGGACACCAAAAGCCTTCTTGGTGGATCTGGGGATTGTCAGTTTCCAGAGTCTACGGAAGGGCCGGATACTCCCGACCCTGTCGCGCTTGCGACGTCATGCCTGTGCCCACCACTCGGAGCCCGGCTCAAATACTGCCCGTGTATTGTGAATCTACCGTGCAGCCCGGCCCTTCACCTGGGGTTAGTGCGGAGGGCAGCCCCCGGCAGGGGGCGCCGTGGATCCACAGTGCGGGTCAGCAGACCGGGTCGGGAGGGTCGGTGAGCACAATGCCTGCGTTCGGACACTGGACGAGGGCCAGAGTCAGGCCTTGCGGACGCACACGACCCGCGTTCTGGTGTCGTCTGTGAGACGAGCGCGGCTACAACCTGTAGGAGGACAGGCGGCACCAGCCGACTAGGAGCAAGGGCTGGACGCGAACCCTGGAGCTGGGGTACAACCCGCCAATCAAGGAGTCTCTGGGGGCCGGCCAATCAAAGGGTCCTCGCCAGAAGGCGGAGCCTGCCAATCAAGGGCTGTCTGCGCAAAGTGGCAGAAACCACGACTCTAAGGAGCGGGGGTGTGCAGTGATGGGGTTCGCCGCGCTGGCGGTCCAGCATCCGGTTCCTCAAGCTTCTTCCTTTCTCCCGGGACTGAAGAACAAACACCCAGGGCTGGGGCCATAGCAGAGGAGACTTGAGGCAGGGAGGTGAGCCCGGGAGGCTGCCTGGCAGAAGTGGCGCCAGCTGCCGAGGGTGGAGCCTCGAAGTCCCGCCCCACAGCCCCGCCCCCATCCCTGTCGCTCAACTGGGCTCTGACCGGCGCGCAGCATCCAGCGCTGCGGGCTCCGGGCTCCAGGCTCCGGGCTATGGACGCCCCAGCCGCCGCCCCCAGCTCGGCGAGGAAGGAGCTGAAGATAGTGATCGTGGGTGACGGCGGCTGCGGCAAGACATCGCTGCTCATGGTGTACTGCCAAGGCTCATTTCCCGAGGTGAGGCCCACTAGGTGACAGGAGGGGTGAGGATGATGGGCTTGGGACCGCAGGAAACAGGGGGAGTCCCCCAGCCTGGACTTAGGCCCCAACCTTGGGCCGTGGAGTCCCTCGGGGCAGCCCTTGTCGAGAATTCCTGAGCCTAGCGGTTTGCCAGGTCTGAGCTGGATGGAGTGAGGGTGTTAAGACAGTTGTAAGGGAGGGATATGTCTGGGACTCTAGGCCTCCACTGCACCCCTTAAAAGATCAACCCGAACCCCTCTCCTCACAGCACTATGCCCCGTCGGTGTTTGAGAAGTACACGGCTAGTGTGACAGTGGGCAGCAAGGAGGTGACCCTCAACCTCTACGACACAGCTGGTGAGTGCACCAGAGCCCAGAGGGTCCTTGTGGTCATCCTGATGGTTCCCCTGTCTTGTTGGGGCATTTCCTTCCTGACACTCCAACATGCCTGGTCCCTGCAAGGCGCTGCTGGCTGGGAGGTTCTGGAAGCCAAAGGGACCTCAGCCGTCTCTAGGTGGAGGTAATAGGGTTGAGGCGAACTCTGAGACACCCCCACCCCCCCGCCGTATCCAGCAGTGCTACGTTCTGTTCCGAAGCCTTGTTCCTCTCCTGTGGTTCTAGAAAACGTGGGCTGTACTTCTGCCTCCCAAGGTTGCAGAATTCATTACTTATTGTGGTCTTTGATTAGAGTCCCCTGGGGCTTGGGTCCTGATGGATTGTGTTTCTGGGCCCTATAATTTTAGGTTAGGGAGATCTAGAGGTGTGGCCTGGAGGGCAGAGCTGGAACTCCAGGATTCTGCATATGGCTGGCAGCTCTGTATGTTGAGACCCCAAGGTGCTGTGTGTACCTTGCCCTGTGTCCCTGGCTTCTGGAACCCTACAGCTATAGTCCATGCTGTGTTTTCTTGGTTGTCCTGTGATGAAGCAGACTTCAGAAAAGAAACTTGAAGGCTGGGAAATGGATCAAAATAACGTTCTATCTGCTGGCCCCTCGAAGAGGGAACTTGTGCTCATAGTCCACAAACGCTGGGATTCCCTTTGGGGTGTCATCAACATCTTCGGGGGTAAAGGTTGGATCAGGTGGAGCCTCACCCATCTCTGTGACTCAGTGTTTGGTGACCGGGGTGGAACCACGTCACTGAGTGCCCCTTCCCTGCTAGTCTGTCCTTGTGCGGGTGAAAGTCTGTGATGGAGCCAGGTCCAACATTCTCCCCACCCTTCCTACACTCACTACCCCTTTGAGTGGCCCACTGAGGCTCCCCGCCAAGCCTGTCCTCCAACCCTGGGTGTGTGAGGAAGGAATTCCCAGAGGTGTGGCCTGGAGGGGAGTAGGAGTCTGTGCGGAGAACCTACTTTCACATGCCTCTTATCTAGGAGCCAGGGAGGGGCAGGACCATTGACCACACTTTGGGGGGAAGTTCTGGCTGAGCAGAGGTATTGCGTTCCGCCCTGTAGCTGCAGGAGAGGCCAGGAAGTCTGCTTTTTCCTTCTGCCATTAGCCCTTCTTGTCACATCCCAGAGTTCCCTGTTCACGACCAGTTCCCATACCAGACCAGAGCAGAGACCATTTAGGACAATTTCTGGAAAAAGAAAAATGCCCAAAGGACATGTCATAAGAGGGTTCAGAAAGAGGTTCAGAAAGCTGCTACTGGGTAGAAAGACGAGTTTGTCCCAAGAGGCCGCGGAGGGATGGAGGTTATGATGATATGTGACGTTCTTGTCTGTAACTCCCTGCTACCTCTCAACTTGGTTCTGCCAGGTGTGTTATTGGGGGCATCTGAGCCTCATTTTCCTTATCTTTCATCAGAGCTAAGATAGTCAAAAGAATTAAGTCAAATTCATATGCCCAATACTCTGCACCGGGGCCAGCTCTTGGGCGGTTCACATACTGGTCTTCAGACTTCTTTGTTTTGTGCTAGAGCTGAAAACCAGACTCTTGTGCATGCATACTCCACATTGAGCCCCGGTCCTCAACCGGAATGTGTTTGTTTGTTTGAGACAGGGTCTCTCTCCCTCTGGCTGGCCTCGAACACACTGAGTAGCCCATGCTGCCCTCTGAGTCTCCAGCCTCCTGCCTCAGCCTCTTGCGGTATGTGCCACCACGCATGCCTCCTTCCCAGCTCCTTCTGTAGGGGTTGGAGAATATAGATACCCCCTCGAGAGTGTCCGCTGGGACTGGGGAAGTCCTAACGGTGGAGGAAATTCCCTGGCCCAGTGAGCAGTGCGCTTGTGAGGCTTGGTCATTCCCCTCACGTGTGAACAGTGTTTGTCAGGAGGAGGCTCTAGAAGTGACTGTGGAGTAAATTAATTCATCATCAGGGAGGTGAGTCAGCTCTACCTTGTGGCTGGGTCTCGGGATAAATGTGGTAGAGGATGATGGCCGGTAACCGTCTAGACCAGAGAAAAGTGAGGGCTTAGTGGGTGAGGGCATTGACTGAGTTAGAGATGAGTCTGGTAGATGGCACAGAAAACTCTAGACCTGGGGAGCGGGGCCTGCCTTCCCAGTCAGTAGTGATCAGAATTATGGGACAAGAATGACCCCAGAAGTTGATTTCTTCTTTCCAAACCCAAAACAGAATGACGGCGATGGGCAGTGCTAGGTCTATGCCCACAGGGCCCACAGACAAGGCCTCGCTGACAACTTGTCTCCATCCTGCGGAAACGCTGGGCCCTCAAGAGGTAGACGGGGTGGGGCCTTAGCACACAACTCCAGTAGCCTCCCCTGAACCCTGACATCTTCAGACAGGAAGCTGTGGTGAGGCCGGAAGGTTTCTGGGCAGAAGGTCGGTGTCATGGTGGCAGTGGGGGAGTTTAGACCCCACCCAAAGACTCTCATCTAATCTTGGAGGGGCACAGAGGCATGGGGAGCTGTGTGAGAGAATTGGTAGAAAAAGAAGCTGGTAAGATAAGGGTCAGGACCAGAGGGGTTTTGTGGGTCCTGGAGCTGGGACCACTTAAGGCCAAGAGTACGTCAAGTCAAGGATCATGGTCTAGTGTGAGGATGGGACTTCCCTGACTCTTCCTGTCCCTGGGGAGCAAAGGAGGTAGGTGGGGGCGCCCTAGCAGAGCTAGTAAACGTGGCTTCCTCCTTCACCAGCTTCCCCTTCTCATGCTGCCAACACCCCTTCTCCCACCAATGCTTTGGTCAAGAACGGGTCGCCTCCTGCAGTGCAAATGCCCCTCCAGCAGATTTGGGGAGCACCATGGCCTGATGACATGCCACCCAACATAGCTCTAGGACTTAGGAACCCTGTCCTGGAAAAGGAACATTGTCAAGGGAAAGCCCCATTTCACGGAGGAAATGCGTCAGGTGGGCTGACCACCTCACTTCCATCTGCCACACTGCCAGCTGTAGGAAAATGCATGAAACTTCAGGGGAACTCCTGCCCACCGCCCTCTAGAACCAAGGCCATGCTTCAGGAGATGGCTGGCAGCCTTGTATGAATATGGGCAAGGTGACTTGGCATCTTCATGGGCAAGCATAGGATAGTCGATAAACTTAGTGGCTGGGAGGCCCCATAAAGGGGTTCAGAAATTCAGGGCCAGGCCACTAACCGACGTTGGAAGTTTCTGGGTCACACCTCTGCCCAGCCCCAAAGTCTTTGTTTCCTAGTTAGGGCAGACCTAATCACCATTCTACCAGATAAAGGAATCAAGACTTAGAAGAGAAAGGGCTCAAGCCCCAGAATGTATGTCCAGGGAAAAGCTTGGGGCAGCAGCACCAAAATTCTTTTGTTTTTCTTTTCCAGACCGACTTTTTTTTTTTTTTTTTTTTGCCTTGGCTGTTCTAGAACTTGCTCTGTAGACCAGGTTGGCCTCAAACTCAGAGAGCCGCTTGCCTCTGCCTCCCGGTGCTGGGATTAAAGGAGTGAGCCACCACAGACCAGCTCAAGTTCGTTGTTGTTATGAAAGACACACATTGGATCCTAAGAAAAGTCAGGCCAGGCAGAATAAGCCTGAGAAGGAGACAGGGTCTAAGCTGGCTCCCCATTCCCTCCCAGAGGCCCCCTGTTCCTTGACTCGGCTGTTCGTGCCACTGTTTGTGTGCCAGCCTTGTCAGGGCTGGGTGTTCTGTTGCTGTAGTAAAACAGTGACCAAAAGACGGGGCCTGGTGGCACACACCTGTGAGCCCAGCACTCAGAGAGGCAGAGGCAGGCAGGTGGATCTCTGTGTGTTCGAGGCCAGGCTGATCTACAACCTGAGGCCAGAACAGTCAAGGTTACACTGAGAAACCCTGTCTTGAAAAGCCAAACTAAACCAAACCAAAACAAAACAAAAAAGTGACCAAAAGCAACTTGGTGGGAGGAAACAGTCCATCACCAAGGGAAGCCAAGGCTCCAGACTGAACCTAGACCGGTGATTCTCATCCTTCCTAACGCCGTGCCCCGTTAGAGCAGTTCCTCATGTTGTGGGATCCCCAACCATAAAATAATAATGATAGTAACAACGTTATTATTATTGGTTATTCTTATTGTTACTAGTTTTTTGAGACTTTCTTTGTGTAGCCCTGGCTGTCCTGGAACTCTCTTTGTAGACAAGGCTGGCCTCGAACTCACAGAAATCCACCTGCCTCTGCCTCCCCACTGCTGAGATCGCAGGTGTGTGCCACCATGCACCGCCCATAGAATTATTTTGTTGCTGCCTCATGAGTTTGATTTTGCTACTATTATGAATTCCAATGTAAATGTTTGATATGCACGATAGCTTACTTGAGACCCCTATGAAAGGGTCCTGACCCACAGGTTGAGAAACACTGACCAAGAGGCGGGCACTGAAGCAGAGACCATGGAGCGAATGCTGCTTACTGGCTTTTTCAGCCGCCTCCCTTGTATAACCCAAGACCGCCTGCCCAGGGGTGGCACCACACAGAGTGGGCTTAGGTCTTCTCCATCAGTTAGCCATCAAGATAATGCACTGTAAACACGCCCACAGGCCAACCTGTGGAGGTTGCTGTCAATGGAGGCTCCCTCTCCCCAGACGTGTCATATTGACACCCAAGACTGGCCATTTCAGGTGTAAAAAAGGAAGCCGGGCAGGGTGGCACACGCCTTTAATCCCAGCATTCAGGGAGGACAGGCAGGTAGATCTCTGAGTTTGAGGCCAGCCTGGTCTACAAAGAAAGTTTCAGGTCAGCCAAGGCTGCACAGAGGAACAACAACAACAAAAGAATAAAGGCTCTTTCCCTGACTCGGGTAAGCTGATCAAAAAGCACCCGGATGCCCTTTTAGCTCTGTGGAGTAAGTCACTTCACCTGTCTGCCTTTTGGTTTCTCTGGCTAGAAAAGGGAGGCAGCTAGGGGTGTGTGTGGAGAGAGGGCCCGGTGATTTAGAGTGTGGAGTCAGGCAGCTCCCACCTGC